AACAGTACGAATCAGCGTACCTCCATCATAGTCTGGCTTGTTGAAAGCAAATCCCGGCTAATACTTGGTGTAGAAGACACAGTTGACATAAAACAACTGCGAACAAAACGACAAAAGAACGAGGAATACAATAAAAACAATTGTTTTGTGAGGCGGTGTTCTGTTGTGACGAGTTCTGCGTCTTCTACACCAAGAGGGAGCCCAAATCCCTCGTTTACGATTATCAGAGATCACTGATGAATCAATAAAAGCAAGTCGAGCGGAGTCAAAATTGCTCCGAGAAGAAATTGGTACTTGGCAATGAAACCCAATTTGCTCGGGTGATCTTCACGAATGTCTCCACTGTGAAAGAGAGAGCTTATAAGGTAACTACAGTGCTTAAAATTTCATTTAATTGGCTAACATCGAGGCGAGAGAATGGACACCCAATAGGCTAAGACTTATGTAAGCATGTAGACTTCCACAGAGCACAAGCAAAGGTCTCTATTAAAATACCACAATGCCACGTGCTTCTTCTCCAAAGTACAAGAAAATCGAATCACTTTTCTAGACATGTCGCCTGACTTAAAGATTTTTGTTCATGGTTTGCGCATCAAAGTTTAGCCTAAATTTTCCAAGTTTGTCGTTTGCAATCCATGTTCATCTTTTCCATCCTTAACCATCCTTGTTCCTTTATGGTTTATTATCATCTTTTTGGTGTTTTTCTATCTTAGTAAATTACTATTTTCAGGTTTCCTTCAAATAAAAGGGGATTTTGTACGTGGCAAAAATAACTCAAAATGCTGTGACTGGGCTCCTTTAAGACAAACGAGACAAAACCAAATACTACGGTCTCAGTTACCTCCACTGCTCGCTGTTCTGGAATGCCGCGACTTTCCCTGATTAGACACTCCTCCTTGGTACTTCTGCTCGAAGTACTGTTTTGTGGTTTCACTGTGGGTGCTGGAGAAAGGTCAGGACAAAAGATCACGATACAAGCCGCGCAAAAAGTGGAGGTGATGAATCGGGAAGGGTAGAGCAGTGACAACGACTGGATTTCAACGGGGTAAGGCAATCTACTACA